TGTGTATAAGGTTATGTTTATGTTATACGATGACAGCAACTCGAACTCAATGAACATACAGCAGCACTATGTTCATTTTTGAATGGATTTGGTGGTCCTATCCTAAATACTAAATAGTTCAGCAGATATAAAAAAAAATGTAGTCCTCTACCTTCTTTGTTTTAAATTAATAAATGTATGTTTAATATTTACTAGCTCAAAGAGAACTGCTCTCGAAAGCGAAGCGGTAATAAACAACTACCTAACCGGTATTTAATATTAGTCTTACTATTTTAGTAATTTCTTAGTTTGTGAAACCGCATCGAAAAGCAAACAAAAGTTGGGTTCAGCAACCTAGCTCGTTCGACCTAATCGATTCACTGGTCGCCTTATTCATTACGCTCCTAGTGTTAAAATATGTAAAAAAAGGAATTTTAAAATTAATTTCTTTATTTTTGGAACCGGTCGTTTTTAGTGTCATCATTAACACGATTCCTTTTTTTTAGCAATGGATCTCTTGTTCCTTTTATAATAATACCGGTACTATGTACGCATGTGACAAAGATGTCGTCACAATGCGAGGCTGGACGAAACAAAAGGGTCTACGATGGAGGGGTCATCTTGATGTCTTTATAGTACATCCTTTAGCCACTTACGGCAACCCGTTACCCGATACGCTTACCCAAGTTTCTGACACAAGTACGTACTTACGTACCCGCTCGAGTGATGGCTGGCTACTCATGTTGATAGTAGACTTTTTGCGTCGTAAGGGCGGAATTAGCTTGATGACTTGCTGCATCCGTGGGGTCGTGCGCGCAACAAGTGCGGCGCAGATCGAGGGGGAAGGGGGTGTTCATTGATCAGCAGCGGCGCCTGTTGCTCCACCCGAACCCCCCAAGCCTCGGGTTGTGTGTGTAATCAAACTGGCACATGGGAATGATGTTGCTGCCGATGTCTATGTCGTTGTGTTGCGATATCACAAAGTACTGACGTTAGCGATTGCTCCATTATCTTTTAGTGGTATTGTTGACAATGTCAGTTACGCGGGCTTTGTTTTCCTTTGTTGTCCTAGGCACTATTAACCACCTCACTGTTTTGGTTACAGAATCGCGAGTATGTTTATTTGACAATTTTTTTTCTCAATTGTCTTAGGACAGACTAGAAATTGTGCGTTTAAAAATGTGGTTCTTATAGTAAGCCGAATATCTTTGTCATTGTTCTTCTTTTGTTGTCATTCTATAGAAACCTCACACGAATGTACTTGGATAGTGAACCAAACTTCCATTTTCATTAAAATAATTAGCATCTTACTGTGGTCTTCCGTAAAAGAAGCGACATCTAATTTGTTAAGATATAAAGGAAAAACAAGGAAATTAATTGTCCAGTTTATGAGAGTTTACGTATTATTCAAACTTATTTTTTGATTAATTTAATTGTTTGATTAATTTAATGTAAATATTATATTTACTAATTTGAGAATAAAGCGTTGTCAAAGAAACATACTTTTAGTCACTTAACATATTTTTATCAAAACATTATCTAATTATAATTTGAAAGAGCCGTCTCGTTGTTTCCTTAATGCTCTTGATCACAGCCGAGCTCACGGCTCATCTGTTGAGAAGTATTTAAGTCCATAGATATTACGACATGAATTCCGCCACTCAATTTGGGCCATGAGATCGGGGACTCAATTGTATTGTGTAACGGTAATCCCTATTAAATCGGAACGAATGATTGATACGCGACAGGAATAGGCAGAATAGACACCCGTGATGGCCATAGCACACATTACTGTCGTCCTCAGCAATTTTAAAATTTCCGAATAGTGTGTGAATAATTTTTTTTTTTGGTACAATTAGAACCTATCTTTGGTTGCCGACTACCGGGAATATTGACATTTCTCTGTACGTGTACTCTGACCCTTTTACCCATTACTTCGCTTTCTGGTGGTGTCATTTAAAATTGAAATTTTACAATATAACTTACGGCACAACAAAATAAAATAAAAAATATGATTTTTTTATTGCTTAGATGTGTGGACGAGCTCACAGCCCACCTGGTGTTAAGTAGTTACTGGAGCCCATAGACATCTACAACGTAAATGCGCCACACACCTTGAGATATAGTTCTAAGGTCTCAGTATAGTCACAACGGCTGCCCCACCCTTCAAACCGAAACGCATTACTGCTTCACGGCAGAAATAGGCGGGGCGGTGGCACCTACCCGTGCGGATTCACCTTTTGTGAGTCCTACCACCAGTATTTACGCAAATTATAATTTTTGCGGCTTTAATTTTTATTGCACGATGTTATTCCTTCACCGTGGAAGTCAATCGTGAACATTTGTTGAGTACGTATTTCATTAGAAAAATTGGTACCCGCCAGCGAGATTCGAACACCAGTGAATCGCTCGATACGAATGCACCGGACGTCTTATCCTTTAGGCCACGACGACTTCAAAAATTGTTTCAATTTCAATTCATTCAATGTTCATAATTCTTATGGTAAAGGACAGTTGGAGTGGTAATTATTGCTCTCATAAAGAATGCATAAAAAGATAATGACTCAGTCGACTTCACTTTACTAAAACATCTAAATAAACATCACACAATTCTCTTCCTTATTTTCCATTAAATAACTTTTTTAAATAAGCCATTCGCTCAATAATACTATGCGATTTAAAAGTTTAGTTGATTTGGATAATTCTATCCTATTTTTAGATTCTGGTTCAATTGTTCACGATTATACACTGTGGTGCTATTTCCCGGAGCGTTCAATACGAATTAATAAGAGATTTAATTGGATGAGTTCGGCTTAAAATGGATTGAATAATATATTTGGTTGTCTTTAATCAAATGGTTATGGGCTATACAGGATTGCTTGTTCGATTCATGCGATTCATGCTTTGTTTTATGGCTTTATTTCGGGTTAGACTCGGTCGAATGCTGTGTTTGATATTACCAAATAAGTATGTTATATTCTGCGATTTTATTTTTATTTTTTTATTTCTTAAATGGGTGGACGAGCTCACAGCCCACCGGGTATTAAGTGGTTACTAAAGCCCATAGACATCTATAACGTAAATGCGCCATCCACCTTGAGATCTAAGTTCTAAGGTCTCCGTATAGTTACAACGGCTGCCTCACCCTTCAAACCGAAACGCATTACTGCTTCACGGCAGAAATAGGCGGGGCGGTGGTACCTACCCGCGCGGACTCACAAGAGGTCCTACCACCAGTAAGATTACCAGGCTAATTTATTTTGAGGTTTTTGAATTTTGTTATAATGGCACTTAGTTTAAGCTTAGAACCTATTTAATAAGATCTTACAAGTTATATATATTGCGATATAAATTACTGATGATTTTTTGTTGTCTTAAAGTACTGTATACAGATTAAATGTGTTCACCATAAAAAAAAGATTGTGAATAAGGCGTTTTACGCTATTAATGTAATTAGGATAATCTACAAGATTATGTTGAGTTATGAATCACTTAAAACTATAAATCTATACTAATATATAAATCTACAGTGGTTTTTACGGATGTTCCGTTATAACTACTGAACCATGCATCCGATTGACTTGAAACTTGGTATCCATGTAGAAAATAGATGTACTTAATGGATAGGCTAATATTTATATGAGCGTTGGACTCGCTACACCAGTTGCAGGGGAGTTGATGATGATAATCTTTGTGGGGGATGAGAAATAATAATGTTAATTTTAAATGATCAGCGAAGCGGACGGGTACAGCTAGTTTTATTAAAAAAATACAATGAATAGCTCTAAGCACGTCTAATATCTAAACACAATCTGCAAGCTCACGCGAATACGAATCAAGTATTATAGGATTTCCCCGACTGCTAATGCATATCGGAGTACCGCTAATACGTGGATTTGGTTAATGGAATAGGATCGAGACGTGCTCCCGCAGATAGTCGGGTAGACTGATAATGGTGTTTGTTTTTCTTTAAACCAGTCTCGGGTAAGTATGATTTTAAAACCGATTTAAAGGCTGTATTGAGGCAATGTTGCGTGCTCAAAAATCATGCGTTCGTTTTATGATTAAACTTATATATGTACGTTTTTCTGATAGTATGTAAAATGTGTACACCAGTTCGGAGCTGTATGTGTAGATATGACATTGGTGGTAGGACCTCTTGTGAGTCCGTGCGGGTAGGTACCACCACCCTACCTATTTCTGCCGTGAAGCAATAGTGCGTTTCGGTTTGAAGGGTAGGGCAGCCATTGTACCTATACTTGAGAGCTTAGAACTTATATCTCAGGATGGGTGGCGCATTTGCGTTGTAGATGTCTATGGGCTCCAGCAACCACTTAACACCAGGTGGGCTGTGAGCTCGTCCACCCATCTAAGCAATAAAAAAAAAAGATTATTATAAGATAATTATATTTATATAGGATATTTGTAGTTATATTATATATATATCCGGTCACGCTCTGCTATGACTTTATATTTTTTATTGCTTAGATGAATGAACGAGCTCACGACCCTCTAGGTGTTAAGACGCCAAAGCTTCGATTGTATTGTATAGATTTTCTACGCTTCAAACCGGAACGCATTAACTCTTTGCGGTAGAAACAGTCAAGACGTTGGTAATTAACTACACTGGTGGACTAGTGGTAAGTACTGATCGACAACGATATTAATCGTTACTTGCGCTTTAAAAGCTGCTTTTGAAGCTGCTTGCGAAATATATAATTGTAAACAAACTAGCTGACCCGGTAGACTTCGTAGTGCCTCAATCGATAGATAAAACACCTAAGCTTTTGTATAAAATAAACTTAAAACAAACAAAAGTAATCCGTCCGACGGGGGACACATCAAAAAAGGAAAAACAAAATTGTTATTTTTATTTAATTCCGAGCATTTCATATTTATCTACCTTTTAAACCTTCTCTGGACTTCCACAAATAATTTAAGACCAAAATTAGCCAAATCGGTTCAGCCGTTCTCGAGTTTTAGCGAGATTATCGAACAATTCATTTTTATATATTTTTGTGTTGTCCAGCTGGAGCACTGGGTATGAATACTCCAGAGGGTCCCACAAACAAGTTCGAAAAGGAATGGTAGCGAGCGAGGTGCGGACGTATTCTCGTGTGTATGCTTCAGTGGTTGCGGGTGAACTGTCGGCGTCAGTAAAGGCGCACGCGCGGCTTGCCAAAAGGAAAGCCCCCTCGGTCGCTACTCTTTGAATCGCGCCGGGAGCCGACAACGAGAGTCCTTGATTGGTCGCGGCGCGCGATCAGACGCGGCTGCCGACGCGGCAGGCGTTAGGGTTGCTATATACTCCCCCTCTAGTCCTGGAGAACGCCCTCGCTCCTGGACTAGGACATCAACAGGCTTAGCTGGGCGTCCACGTTTCCTCTTAGGAATCATAGGTTTGGGTAAGGAGTCTTTGTTACCGTGATAACAGGTAAGGTCTTGGGTATGGTATTTCCCTAATATAATATCAGGCGGTTTCTTCGAAGGATTTAAACAGTATGGGAGTACTGATATTGGTGTATTCGTACCTGTTTCGTTGCGATGCTCTGCAAACGGAGTTGGACCTACCCCTGCTCTGAAGATGTGCGCGTGCCTGTCCAGTACGTCAGCAAGCGCTTGCCGCTCAGCTGGTGTAAGGTGATTATCTTCGTCATCCCTAAGGATGTCTATAGCGGCGCAGGAAACTTTGCGCAACTTAGGTTCGAAACATAGATTATACTTTACCATTGCATCATCACTGAAGAACCAAACCTCCTCTTTGAAGTCGATTACTACTCCAGCTGCGGTAATAAAATCTATTCCTAATAACGTTTCATTATTGGTGGATTCAGGAAATATGAGGAATGGAGTGGAAATAATTGTCGTCTCTAGGCGTACATCGAGTGTGGTGGTAAAAACGTCCATAATGCGCACCACATCGTCGGCAAGTCTGACTCGTTGAGAGGAACCGCGGAGAGGATGGTTGTTCTGCTGGAGGAGAGCGTATAGCGTATGACCCGCGATGCAGTGTTTTGCAGCTGTGTCTATTAAAGCGGTGACGTCAAAACCCAGTATATTTATGTTAAAAATCGGCCGTACGTCACTACCAATAGGGGGTCCCGTAAGATCGTCATCTCCGCCGCAACCTTAAAAACAATCAAATCCTATTACATCACGCTTATTCCCATATTTCGGAAAATTCGGATTTATCCCGTTTTTATCACAATAATTTTCAAATAATGGTGTACAAATCTTACAGTCGCCCGGACATATTTGATGAACAAAATTTGAATCCTCTGCGACTGCGCAGGTTAATGTTTGCCATTGCCCGTTTGCATTGGCATTGCGGCAAAGATGTCCGTCGACGCCAGAAAACATATCCAAATTATTATTTTTGTTGAAAAAAAAATTATCATTTTTACGTTCGGCAACCAAAGAGTTAACATTTTCAGTTGTGGCGGCTGAAGGGTTAACATGAGTAATGTTTTCGCTCGGACTATTATTATTTTGGCGATCGTCACTCGATCGATTACATGTTATGCATTTCGTGTTGCATGCAGTGATATTGTGGTTCTTTTCTCGAGAAGAACCTGGGCGATCAATACGAGCTTGATCGGCATTATCACTGTTATCAGTAAACTTAAACCGCGAACGATTTGAATTACGGGCAGCAAAATTATAATTTTGTGGATTTCGCCGTTGTTTATAATGTGTGTAGGTATCAGTGCATGCATCACTATTTGGCAAAATAGGGACACAAGTTTCATACACTAAATTAGAACTATGAATACGATCTTTTACTGATTTGTCGTTTTCAAATTTAAAACACACTTTTGAATCGACACAATAAAATGACTGATCACTTTTAACTTCACTTTCACTAGATTTCGAGTGAGTTTTTAGTATGAGATTGATCACCTTGTTTTGAATCTAACTTACGACACTGGTTCTTCTCGTGACCGAAGAAATGGCAATACGAACATTTCGGGCGTCGCTTCCTTTCGACGGAGTCAAATAAACGCGGCGTTCCGGGAGCAAGCGGCAGCTGCGTCGCGGGCTCGTGGCCGGGGGCGGCGCCGCTTGGAGCGCACGCGGCCGTGCGCGCTGCTACTGCTGGCGGAGGGCGGGTGCGTCCGGTGCCGGTCGTCGACTCGTATGGTTTTCTTGCTAATTCTCCCGTCAGTCTTGAGGCATCGTGCTCGTAGCGAAGTTCATCCGTCGCGTCTTCAATTTGGCGCGCTCTTTGCAGGAGCACGTCGAACGAACTTACTTCGTCGCGGCGAAGTCTCTCCCGTACGCGGCGGCTGAGGAGTCCGTAGATCATGTCCAGCTGGACTTTCTCGCTTAGGTCGCCAGCAGGTAGCTTCGCGAGAAGAGCGCGCGTCGTAGCGATGAAACGGTCCGTTCTTTCATCGTTTTGTTGACCTCGTTTGAACAGTTGAGCGTATATACGGTGTGGAGGCCTGCGATCACCGAAAGCGTCTCGTAGGGCTGAGACGGCATCGCACCACGAAGATATGGAGGACTTCCCACCCAGCCACCAGACGGCGGCGTCGCCGCACTACAGCATCGACAATCCCCGGACGGCGTTCTCATCCGAGATGTCGGAGCAGTCGCGATAGGCCTCGGCCGCATCCAGGAAGGCATCAAGCGACTCACCTGCAGTCCCACTAAAGCGCGCGGTACATCGGGTGAAGTTCGCGTGTGCACGTGATGCGGGCACTGGTGTTGATGTGTTGTGCCGTATCGTTTCAAATAATGATTTCAAAACCTCTGTTTGGCTCCGCTGTAGTGCCTCTACTATTGTTGACACGTGCTCGCTGGAGAAGGTGGCTTCGGCGGGGGCCACGTGGCTGTCGCCGGATCGGTTGTGGTGATTGGAGCGCGAGGCGTCAGCGGCGCCGATTTCGCAGGCGGGAGACGCGCTCGTAGATGCTTCTCGAAGGGACTCGTAGATTGTGCGCGAGGCGTCGCCGGCGCCATTTTCTTGGGCGGCGGATGCGCTCGGGGAGACCGATCGCGGGACGCGGACAGACGACGGGTCCGTTGCATCATCATCCCTGCGATTTCGGCTAGCACGGTTATCACTTCGAGTGTTCACTATGATCATGAGTTCACAATTTTATTTGCAAAACCGATACGATTCGTCGACTCACCGCTAGATTTTCCTTACCACTTTGAGGCGCCAGTTTTGTGTTGTCCAGCTGGAGCACTGGGTACGAATACTCCAGAGGGTCCCACAAACAAGTTCGAAAAGGAATGGTAGCGAGCGAGGTGCGGACGTATTCTCGTGTGTATGCTTCAGTGGTTGCGGGTGAACTGTCGGCGTCAGTAAAGGCGCACGCGCGGCTTGCCAAAAGGAAAGCCCCCTCGGTCGCTACTCTTTGAATCGCGCCGGGAGCCGACAACGAGAGTCCCTGATTGGTCGCGGCGCGCGATCAGACGCGGCTGCCGACGCGGCAGGCGTTAGGGTTGCTATAATATGTATATAGATAGACGTTGCCAGCACACATGTTAATGTTCATCCAATTTTGAAGTCGTCGTGGCCTAAAGGATAAGACGTCCGGTGCATTCGTATCGAGCGATGCACCGGTGTTCGAATCCCGCTGGCGGGTACCAATTTTTCTAATGAAATACGTACTCAGCAAATGTTCACGATTGACTTCCACGGTGAAGGAATAACATCGTGCAATAAAAATCAAACCCGCAAAATTTATAATTTGCGTAATTACTGGTGGTAGGACCTCTTGTGAGTCCGCACGGGTAGGTACCACCGCCCCGCCTATTTCTGCCGTGAAGCAGTAATGCGTTTCGGTTTGAAGGGTAGGGCAGCCGTTGTGACTATACTGAGACCTTAGAACTATATCTCAAGGTGTGTGGCGCATTTACGTTGTAGGTGTCATGGGCTCCAGTAACCACTTAACACCAGGTGGGCTGTGAGCTCGTCCACACATCTAAGCAATAAAAAAAAAAATCCATCTACGCAGTAAAAAAATAAGAAAAAAAACCTATATTAAAGCATACATTGTATGTTTGTAGCTCGAATAACTGAAGCGGGATCCAGTAAAATAAGTTTGTGACTCGGATATGTGCAAATGGGGATACCTCGTCCGCCCTCCCTCGGGGGATGAATGCAACGCGACATCGTAAATTGAGGAATAGCGTATTCGCGCACAAACCGACGTTTGATTTAAAAAATATATTGTAATACCCTCAAAAGCTGTTTACGTAACGGCTTGTGGAAGTGACTCTAAGCTTTTAAGTTTAACGTGCTTTAACCACTAGTCCAAGATAGCTAACTAGTAGCCAACATGAAGTTTTTAATTTACTTGAAAGGTGTAATATTTTTTTTTGTACATGTCGAGAAGTGATCAAGGTTGGCTGTTTGTTAGCAACGCAAAGATCAATACAGATGTTTTAAGCAAAAAAATACGTGTATTGAGCTCGCGATCTCGGACTATTTACATATAATCTACATGCATTTACTATAAATATTCGCTATTACTGTTTAGTTCGGTCCTCAGCTACAATGGTCAAACCTTGTTACCTTTGAGCCCACTGAGTTTCTCGTCGGATCTTCTCAGTGGGTCGCAATTCCGATCCGGTGGTAGATTCTGCGAAGCACTGCTCTTGCTAGGGTCAGTGTTAGCATCACTCCGATTTGAGTGATTTAGCTCACCTACTAGCTAAAGTTACGCTAAAATAGCCTCTAAGGCTATCACTTTAAGTAGGAAAAAAAATTTACCTTTGAAATCTTTATACCTACAGTCTTTGAATTCTTCTAATTTGAATCATCAATTGTGTATTTATGTATTTAAGGTTATTTTTATTGCCCTTGTAGGCAGGCGAGCGTACGGCCCAGCTGATAGTTACCATCGCCCATGGACTTCAGCAATGCCAGGGGCAGAGCCAAGCCGCTGCCTACCGATAATGTTTTTGATTAGAGCTTAATATACTTTAACTATTACTGTGTTTTATTTAAGTAATACTTTTTTATTTACTTTATGTACTTATATTTATTTGTCCGATTATATTTACTGTATTATTTTTCCATTACTTCCTACATGTAATCTCTGCTGTCTAACATTGTTTCTAAGGACCTTATTTAACAGTAATTGTGAAATACATTAATTACTAATAACTGTGAAAAAAATCTGAAATTATTAGGACGTTAACATGAATCATTGTGTTCAATAGTGACGTTATTGTTTACATTTGGACTATATAGTCAAAATCGGTTCGCAATCCTTGGTCGGTTTGCGATTTCAAATTGATCCAATCACTACCAAACTTCACAGGAATTCACAGGATCACTCACTAGGTTAACCTGAAGATTTCATGGAAATCGGTCAAGCCACTTCATTGTCTATAGGGAACATACCCACATCGACTTTTGTGAGTATAGATTTATTTATTGCTTAGGTGGGTGGACGAGCCCTGATATTAAGTGCTCACCGGAGCCCATAGACATCGACAACATAGGGCTAGCTTAATAATTTAAAAATCATAGTAAAATGCTGAAATATCCGAAAGTACATACAGGTAAGAGTTTTTTCTTAACAACGAAGCTATTATGTTGTTTTTTTACGTGAACGTAAATCAGGTATGATAATATTCTTGAAGACGAATTGGATGTATTAAAAATATTTCTGTTGTAGTATTATATCACGGAATCCCTTCCGGAATGTAATGAGATGTTTGCTTCGGGTCCTTATTATGATTGAAAGATTACAATTTATATTTTTGGGTGCTTGCTTATATTTATATTTTAGTGCTCGGAGATTTGCGATATTTCGTACGCGTGTATTGATGAAGTAAAACTTCTTTGAGTGTATGAGAGTAAAATATCAAGGCTGAATGTTTCTATCGCATAAAGACCAGATATATATCTTTGTCTCTTTCTGACGTAGCTTTTTTGTTTTGTCATGAGCAGACCTCATAGACACAGCACATTGAGTTTCTCGCCGGATTGCCGGATCTTATCAATGGGTCGCGATTCCGTTCCGGTGGTAGATTCTGCGAAGCACTGCTCTTTTTTTGTTTTTATTTTTTATTGCTTAGATTGGTGGATAAGCTCACAGCCCACCTGGTGTTAAGTGGGTACTGGAGCCCATAGAAATCTACAACATAAATGCGCCACCCATCTTGAGATATAAGTTCTAAGATCTCAGTATGGTTACA